TGTTTATTGCTTTAATCCTTCCTGGAAATTTGCATGGTCTATGTTATCTTTCGTTACCAATTTCCCTGTAGTTTAAGAAACATATAGAGAAAAATTGAATCCAGTGTCCCTCAATTTTCATTTTCCAAACTCATAAAGAAACAAAATTTGAGCCCTTAACAGAACGGACTGGATCTTTATTTAGGTTTCCTGAGGCCTTTAGCTATCAATAGAGAGATTTTAGGATAGGTGTAGTTTTAACAACCATATAAACTATCATTGTGCAAAGATGATTGACACTTGCATCTGAATTTCTCATCTTAATTTTGCCTTGTACCCAACAACATTGTCTGTTCAATAGGTAGCAGAAATGGCAGAAATGTCAGATTTTGTAAAAGCTAATAAAGTGCAAGAAATCACACACACACACACACGTATGTTTAGGGCCAGCCAAATAGCTCAGCAGATTAAAGTGCCTGCAAGCAGGCCCAGGGACTAGGGGTTCCATCCCTGGGCCTGCCATGCCGGCCCTGCCCCCAGGATGCTGAGAGGGCAAGTGAGACTGGGGGTGATGGTGCATGCCTGAAATCCCAGCTCTTGGGAGGCTGTAAACAGGGGCATCACTATGAGTCTGATCTAGTAATGAGACCCGGTAGGCCCTTCCCTAAAAATACAGAAAACAAAACAAAACAAGAAAACATTACATCAGTTATCCCAGCATTGAAAGGTTGATGTAGAAGAATAACAAATTCAAGCCCAGAAAAATTAGCAACACACTGTCTCAAAAAACAAAGCAAAATGGTTGAGAACATGGCTCTGTGCAGAGGCCCAGGGCTATTGCCAGTACCACTGAAGGAGGAAAAATGTTTTTTCTTCCAGTCCCATTTGCAGCTTTGAATTCTTTTAATGCCAAGTAGGTAAACATTAAGCATGGCATGTAACTATTCCTAGGTGGTGAACAAATGCTTTCAGGGATAGAACAAATAGAAGTAACAAAGATGAGGAGCTGAAAGTGGTGTATGTAATCCCAGCTCTTTGAAAGCCTGAAGCAGGAGGATCCCAAGTTCTAGACCACTGGGAGCAACTTAGTGATTTAATGAGCCCTGCCTAAAATTTCTATTAATTTGTTTCTTACATTTTAAAAAATCATTTATCTGGTACAGGGTCTTACTAATAGTGATCCTCCTGCCTTAGCCTTCTGAGTGCTGGGATTACACATTCTGAGGCATGTGCCACCACATCTGGCGGGGAAATTTTTTAAAGTGAATTTTTTATTTTTATTTTTATTTTATTTTGTGTGTGTGTGTGTGTGTGTCTGTGTATGTGGCCAGCTCAGCCCACCAGGGGGCGGGGCTGGCTGGCATGTGGCGCGGTCCCTGTGCTCTGCCAAGCCCGTTCCAAGTAGGTGCCTTAGACCACTGAGCCATCCCACCAGCCCCTGGCGGGGAAATTCTTAATGCACCTGTCTCTTTACAAAGACGCTTCAAATTTGTTGAGCAACTCCTCTGACCTTTTCATGGTTTTTATTAATAGAAAGTTTTCCCAGGTTGGCAAAATAAGAACTGGCTTGGAGTTACAGCTCTTTGGCCCATGGGCACTCACCCTCTCTTGGAATAGGATGGGTGACTGCAGTGCAAGAAAGAAAGGGAAAAAGTGGGGAAAGAATGAGTGAAATGGTGTAGGAAAGAGAAAAAAGGAAAGGAAAAAGTGTGGGGTTGCGTGTCCTGCGCAAGGGTGAAAGGTTCCTGGCACTGGAAAACAATCAGCAATGCTAATTTTTTCTTTTCCTCCTTTATAATTTGTGGCTACCAAGATTTACAAACAACTGCTGCCACCAAGCCCTGTGTGGTGGTAGGTGGAGGCATCTCCTATTTACATGTAGGCTCCCTGGTTTAGGCTGCGATAGTTTGAGGCCCACAGCTGGTATCAGAGTGTGATCTAAGGTATTTATGTATTTGCTGCGGCATTAGGGATTGAACCCATGGCCTTTTTATTTCTTGTATGTCTGGATCTCTGTTGCCCAGGCTGGGTTTGAACTCGGCAATCCCCGTGCGTTGTCCTCCTAGAGTGTGGAGATTATGGGCATATGTGCTACCTACCATGCTGGGCCAGACCCTGATTTTAAATCCAGCGTCTGTTTCAATCCAGGTCTGTTCTTCCCAGTACCATGCAGGACACCTTCTGGCAACATTTTTAATGCAGATCTGATACATAGGGGGAAGATTTTGGTATCAACAAGACAAAATAAACAACGGATGGATGTGCCGATGGGAAAGAAAGACATCTCAGCTCTTGTAGCTCCTTTTTACTATATCCCTCCCGGTCCTAACCCTGTCCTGAGGCTGTGGGGCTGCCTTGCCTCTCCACTTCCCAGGAGTGGCAATGTTAATGACCTCACTGTGTTAGTCTCAGTTTACCTAAAAAGCTGAACTGATCTGACCCACCCACCAATCCTGCAGCTACAACACACCCTTCCAACCGCTCAGCTAAAACCTCTGGTTTTTTTCTCATAAAACACACTCACCCTAGTCACAAGATTTAGTTCACTCACCTCATCAGCTGCACTGCATTCAGCTGCTGCATGCTCGCCCACGGATCCACACCGTGGGGCTTCGGCCTCGGGTCTCTGCCTGGAAAGCTGCTCCCCCAGGGAGGAGTATGATGAACAGCTTCCTTCGCCCGGCTCTGCGCGCCCTTTACAACAGCTGCACGGCAGCCTCAGCTCAGACACCGCTGCTCCTCCGCGCCGCGCTCCGGCAGCCGCTGCCCGCAACACCCGGAACGTTTCTACGCGGTCCCAGCGCGCTGCGGAAGAGCGTCGGCGGCGCGCTTCGAGCCGCACGGCACTTCCGGCTCGAAGTGGTGCGCGTCTGGCCGGTAAGTCCGCGGAGGGAGCGAGGCCATCGGGGCGGGAGGGTGAGCGAGACGCCGGGAAGGCTGTCGGGCGAGCAGCCCCCGAGTTGTCCTGGCTGGCGCTGCAGGGGAGGGCCGTGGCGGGCAGGGTTCGGCCCCAGGCCCAGCGGGCACTGGCGTTGCGGCCGGGCGCGAGCTCGCGGGGTTGCCGCCTCGGAGCCCCGAGCTCCCGCGTGGAAAGCGGGCCCGGTGGCAACCGGCTGTCTCCTCAGGAAGCGCCTTCCCGAGAGCTGTGCGGGGCGCGCCTCTCGTTTCTTTGCAGGTGGCGTTTCAGTCTCATCTAACAAAATAATTGAGAACGTTGTGCGTTCTTTTTCTGATGTTCACCACAATTTTTTTGTTGTTGTTTATAGTATACTTTAATTCCCAATGCAATTCATTCACTCAATGACAGACTAAAATGTGCATTCTTTTATGATAAGCCGGAACATCTGTTATCCCAATAATACAAAAAGAAAACAGGTACAAAATTAGTATTAAGGGACTTCCTTAATTAAAATTACTTTTTTTTTTTTTTGTGGAACCAGGGATTGAACTCAGGCCCTTGCACTTGCCAGGCTAGCGCTTATTCTACTGAGCCATCTCCCTGGCCCAAAATTACAAAACTATATATATCCTTTTATTTCCACTCCACTCTGGCTGCATTTTATTAATATAATATCTGCCCTTCTTAATTCTTCTCTTAGGAAAGGCATCGCTCCCTAGTCACCCAAACCAAGCCTCCTCCTTCTCTTCCTCCTTGACCTCCTCACCTATACTCAAGAACTATTTTTTTTTAATTCATCCAATTATTTCTTTTTTTATGTTTTAAAGAGAGTACAAAAAAATAGAGTACAAAATAGTATTAAAGCAGACAAAATTACAAGTGATACAGAATTTCACTTAACAAAGTAATGTGAATTTCATAGTATTTGTTGCAATGGATAGTGTTGTCTTCCAACCAGTTATTCATATTATCAGAAAAATGCACAAAAAAATTGGAAGAAAAAAAGAAATGTGTAAGAAATTCAGAAGAGAATTAAGTATCAGCAGTTGAAAAAAAGAAGAAAAAACAATTTAAGCATTATTTGCTCCTTTCCATAGACCAACAGAAATGCACAGAAATGTACCATTGTCCAAACCATCCTGTTTGCATACGTAGATATCTCTCTTTCCTCCACTCCCTCATCTCTTCAACTCAGTAACTATTTCCTTTTGAATAAATTCATTCCCTTTTCCCAGTGTCTGTTGTATCCTTCAGATTCCATTTTTCTCTTTCAAGTTCTCACACTAAGGAGACAATATGATGTTTACACATATGGGTCTGATTTATTTCACTTAAGAGTATGGTCTCTAGTTGCATACATTTACTGACAAAATATTCAAATTTATTCTGTTTTATAGCTGAGTAATACTCTGTTGTGTAAAAATAACCCATCTTCTTTATCCATTCCTCAGCTGATGGGCATCTGGGCTGTTTGCACTGCTATAAACATGGGTGCACATATATCACTGTGGTATGAGGTTTTCAGTTCTTCTGGAAAAATACCCAGAAGGAGAATACCTGGCTTGAATGGACCTCCAATCCTAGGTTTTTAAGGAACCTCAACACTGATTTCCACAGTGGTTGTTCCAGTCTGCACTCCCACCAACAGGACAGAAGGTTTTTTCTCCAAAGCCCCTCCACCATTTGTTATTGGCTGATCAAGAACTATTAACAAGACATCTTTTTATATTTCTCTGGAATTAATCTCTTCTTCCACAGAGTTCTCTTTCGCAATTCCATTTCTTCATAAGTGTGGCATGTGAGATTTTAACTGTTCTCTTCCAGTTTTTTCTTCTTCAGTCAGTGGTAACGGCTCCACATCTGTTAGCTTTCGTAGTTCTTCTATCATGGTCATAGTTTTATTCAAAGTAGTATAAATGCGGCTCTTGATCTCTTTCTGTTCAATAGCAACAGGTTTAAAACGTGCACACAAAGTTTGGTATCGAGACTTTATGGCTGATAATTCCTTTATGAGCGTTACTGGATTTTTCTCTCCTGCTGAATCATGGTGATTAGCCTTGATTTCATATTCTAGCCTGTATGGAATACAATCCAGATCAGAGTCAGCTTTCTGGAACATCAGTTCTAGCTTATCGACCTCCGTCTCCATGATGAATAGTTGACCTCACCACAAATATTGAAAATAGGATCAAAGGTTCAGTTCAGTCGCTGTATACTGTGCTACCACACGTGGAATAGCACAGATGCTAAAGTTATTGTCACTTGTAATTTGGCTGGTTTTACAGCAGATCACCAAATTTCCTGAAAGAAATTAATCTGTTACACAGAGTGTACCGTTTGTTAATTCAGCGTGAAGTGTACAGAATTGGGATATAGCAGGTGCTGCAAAAAGCAGCGATACCTTAGGAACAGCCTCCAACTTGTCAGTGGATTTTATTTATGTATTTTAATGTATGTAGTACAGGGTCTCACTACACAGATCGGACTCATAGTGGTCCTCCTGTTTTGAGCCTCCCAAGCGCTAGGATTATAGGCGTGCACCACCACGCTGAGTCTTGTCAGTGGATTTTAATTCCATAGATCCATTTATAGGTCCTTCTTTAAAGTATTTTCAACACTTTGTTGTTGTTTTTTTTTTTATAATTTTTATTTATTTGAGAGAGAGAGAGAGAGAGAGAGAGAGAGAGAAAGTGGTGTGTGTGTGTGGCCAGCTCAGCCCACCAGGGGGCGGGGCTGGCTGGCATGTGGTGCTGGGGGATTGAACCGTGGTCCCTGTGCTTTGTTAAGTTTGTTCTAAGTAGGTGCTTTAGACCACTGAGCCATCTCTCCAGCCCCTTTAAAGTATTTTCAATAAAAGCAGTGATATAAATGGAGGGTAAAGTATTGGTTATGCCTTATATTTACAGAGTCTGCCAAGAAATGCATACACTTCAGGAGAAGAAAAATCTTAAGTAGTTTATTAATAATTTATTGAGGGCCGGCCGAATAGCTCAGCAGATTAAAGCACCTGCAAGCAGGCCCAGTGTCCAGGATTTTGATCCCAGGCCCACTCCCGGGGCTCATGCAGATCCAATTGAGACTGGGCGTGGTGGCACTTGGGCCTGTAATCCCAGCTCTTGGGAGACTGTAAACAGGCGGATCACTACAAGTCTGATCTAGTAGTGAGACCCTGAATGCCCTGTCGATCCTTCCCTAAAAATACAGAATAATAATTTATTGAGACATCATGAGATTAATGCAAGTTACCTTTGGCCTCTATAATTACAACAAATACTCTATAAGAGTGGTGGTCATTAGCTTCCAGACATTTATTAGTGAATTGCTACGTGGGTAACCTTGGTCATTGAGATTGCTAAAGATGCATTTTCAGTTTCTTCTGTAAGGGCCAGCAGTGTTCTGGGAAAAAAAAAAAAAAAAATAGAAAAGAATAAAGAGAAAACTACTTACTCTTCATCCTTTTTGCAGACGAAACCATTTGTTGTATTTATGAAATGGCTAAATAAATACTTTATCTTTTTCCTTTAATATTTGAGGTAATATTTTTTTTTTTTTTTTTTTTTGGAACCGGGGATTGAACTCAGGCCCTTGCACTTGCCAGGGAAGTGCTTATTCCACTGAGCCATCTCCCCGGCCAATTTTTGTTTGTTGTGAGACAGAGTCTCACAGTACAATTCAGGCTGGCCTTGAACTTCCATTGTAGCCCAGCCTGGCCTGGATCTTGTGTTCCCCCTGCCTCAGCCAAATGCTGGGATTACAGATGTGTGCCACCATAACTGGCTTCTAATTTTTGTTCTTTTGAATTATGAGATTTAAGCATGTAGCTATTTGGAAATGATAGGTTTCATTGTTAAAAACTTGATAATCCAAACCTAAAGCCTGGTGTAATGCACAGCTGTAATCCTAGCACTCAGGAGGCAGAGACAGGAGGGTCACTGTGAATTTGAGACCAACCTGGGTTACATAACGGGACCCTATCTCAAAACAAAACAAAAACAAAAAAATTCAAACCTTCACAAAGGGGCTGGTGAGATGGCTCAGTGGTCTAAAGCACCTACTTAGAACAAGCTAAGCAAAGCACAGGGACTGTGGTTCAATCCCCCAGCCCCACATGCCAGCCAGCCCCGCCCCCGGGTGGGCTGAGCTGGACACACACACACACACACACACCAAATAAATAAATAAACTTAAAAAAAAACCTTCACAAAGAAAGGTAGAGCGAGAATATAATGAGTCTTCAGGTACTTACTGCTCTGTTATCTTTAATTCTCACTTGTGGTTAATTTTTCAGCTATTCCTGTATTCACTCCCATAATTCTGTGTTCTTGTTTTGTGTCGTTTCTATAGAGCATTTTTGTTTTTTCATAAATTGTAAAAGGTGTTTATTTGTATTGGTATGTTGTCCATAAATATTCATATTCTTTTTTGGAAATAAGATTTCCAAGAGGATATTTATTTTTACTAATAACAGTTACTGAGTAAACTACAAAAAATAAGATGACATTGTATTCTAATTTTTCTCCTTCTGGTACGAGGGCTCGAACCCAGGGCCTCCTGCATGCTAAGCAAGTGCTTTTATCACTGAATTATAGCCACACTTTTCTTTTGAATTTTATTTTGAGACAGAATTTTGCTTAGTTGCCCAGGCTGGCCTTGAGCTGGCAAGCCCTCTACTTCAGCCTCCAGAGTAGTTGGTAGTATGATGTGCACCACCGTACCCGTTTGTTTGCTTGTTGAGACAGGGTCTCACTTTGTAGTTCAGGCTGGTCCTGAACTCTGTGTAGTCCAGGCTGGCGTCAAATGCACTGATTCTCTTGCCTCAACCTCTGAGCACTGGAATTACAAAGGCAGGCTCCACCATGCCTGCCAATTGTTTTTTGTTTTTTGGTTTTTTTTGCTTTTTTCCTCTATTTAACTGTGACAAACATGTTTAGAACATTCGTGGATTTATGGCTTTTACAGAGTGCTGACTAATATAATACACTTTCGAAAATATGGACGAAGAACCTGAAAGAACTAAGCGATGGGAAGGAGGCTATGAGAGAACTTGGTAAGTATGGCATTGTGGCCACTTTTTTTCTTTTAGATATTATCTCTCTTTGCTTACATCTTTATTAAAATTACTTTATATGTGTTAAAATCACCCACTTCCATCAGTTTTTAGAAAATTTGCTTGAGTTGTACAACCACTAACTTTTTTTTTTTTTTTGGTATTGGGGATTGAACTCAGGACCTTACGCTTGCCAGGCAGGCGCTTATGCCACTGAGTTATCTCCCTGGCTCACAACCACTATTATATACCAGTTTTAAGAACACTTTTTTTTTTGGGGGGGGGGAGGAAACAGTGCTTTACTATGTAGTTCAGGCTAGCCTTGAGCTCAATTTGTAGCCCAGACTGGTCTTGAACTTGCAACAATCCTCCTGCCTCAGCCTCCCTAGTGCTGGGATTACAGGGGTGCACCACCTCACCCAGCTCAGTTTTGTGTAACACTTTTTTTTTTTGTGGAACTGGGGATTGAACTCAGATCCTTGTGTTTGCTAGTCAAGTGCTTATCCTACTGAGCCATCTCCCCCTCACCCAGCTCAGTTTTAAGAACACTTTAACCATTCCACTAAAGTCCTTCATCACTACTTAACAGTTAATTCCATTTTCACTGCCTAGAGATACTAATTTATATTCTGTTTATTATAGATTTACCTTTTCTGAATATTTCCCAAAAATATAATCATGTAATATATGATGTGTTGTGGGGCTGGTGAGATGGCTCAGTGGTCTAAAGCACCTACTTGGAACAAGCTAAGCTAAGCAAAGCACAGGGACAATGGTTCAATCCCCCAGCACCACATGCCAGCCAGCCCCGCCCCCTGGTGGGCTGAGCTGGCCACACACACACATAAATAAATAAATAAAATTTAAAAAAATATATATATATATGATGTGTTGTGTCTGGTATTCACTTACTGCTTCAAGTCTCATTCATGTTGTAAAGTATATTAGTGCTTTGTTGCTTTTCTTTATGCTGGGATCTTACTATGTTGTAAGGCTGACCTTGAACTCACAGTCTTCCTGCCTTAGCCTCCAGTAGCTGAATTGGTTCTATGTGAGATTATAGGGACGTACTGGGGGTTAGGCCTGCGGGTGCTGTACAGTTGAGCTATATCCCCTGTACTTTTCATTTTTATTTTGAGCTAATGTCTAAGTTGTCCAGGCTGGCCTTGAACTTTTGATCCTTCTGCTTCAACCTCCCAAGTAGCTGGGATTCCAGGCATGTGCCACCATACCAAACTTGTTTTTTTTTAATTTTCTGAATAGTATTCCATTATACTGTCATAGCACATTTTTATTTATCAGTTCACCAGTTGATGGACATTTAGGGTGTTTACAGTTTGGCTGTTATACACAATCATCCTGTGAACACACATGTACAGATATCTACAGACATTTTTATTTATTGAGTTAATTATTTTTAGCTTACATTTTAAACCATTATTACAGGGAAATTCTTAAAGAGGATGAATCAGGCTCACTTAAAGCTACAATAGAAGACATTCTTTTCAAGGCAAAGAGAAAAAGGTAGGTAAATTCTTCTTAAGTGTGTTGTGACCAAAAACTGTCCCTGAGCCTTTTGTGCCCACCTGTAACTATGCTGAGTGCTTCATTTCTGCTGTGTTTCGGGGAAACTGGCCCATAGTTATCTGGATAGGTGCAAAGAACTGGTAATACCGCCTGACCTCAGTAAGCCAAAATTGACTTTGGGAACTACCCACAATCTCTATAATCATGTGTAGCCCAAAAGTTAATAATTGACTTCATTAAAAATTGCAGATTAGTTGGCAAGTTCTGTTGACTTTGGATAGCATATGGTATTCCATTAAAATGTTGTGTAATTTTAACAGAGTATTTGAACATCATGGACAAGTCCGACTTGGAATGGTATGTTACCTTTTTCTTTTACTGGTACGGAACTAGTTTGGATTAGAGAAACATTCTGGCCCAGCAGAGCAAACAATAATAAAACAACACACTTTTTAAAAAGAATACATAAGGGGCTGGGGAGATAGCTCAATAGAATAAGCGCTTGCCTGGCAAGCACAAGGGTCTGAGTTCAATCCCCGGTTCCGCAAAAAAAAAAAAAAAAAAAAGAATACATAAGAAGCTATGCTCAGAATATGTGAATATTAAATGCTGTTTTTGCTTCTTTGTGAAAGGTGTGACTGAAGCCTGTCCTCTTCCTTTTTGGTAGATGCGCCACCTGTATGTTGTGGTAGATGGATCGAGGACAATGGAAGACCAAGATTTAAAGCCTAATAGACTGACATGTACATTAAAGGTACAGTAAATTCATTTAAAAGTCATTTACTGGGGCTGGAGAGATGGCTCAGTGGTCTAAAGCACCTACTTAGAACAAGCTTAGCAAAGCACAAGGGACCGCGGTTCAATCCCCCAGCACCACATGCCAGCCAGCCCCGCCCCCTGGTGGGCTGAGCTGGCCACACACACACACTAAATAAATGTTAAAAAAAAAAAAAAAGTCATTTACTAACTGCTGATAACTTGGACTCTGAGTAACTAATTTATTTATTTATTTTTTTTTTTGAGTAACTAATTTAAAGATAATAATATGCAACGTATTAACTATTATCCTCCTGTCATCTTGTTTTGGAAGTTTGTTTTTTGGTTTCTTTAAAATAAAACAACAAAATTATTGGCAAAAAAATACATGTATATGCTAAATGGAAGAAAAAATAATAGTGACACTTTTTTCTTAATCTAAATGACAACCAAGAGAAGTGCTGTTGTACAGTTTAAGAAATAAGCCTCGTCTGCTAATTATGCATGTCTAATTTCTCTCTCTTTCTCTGTATCTCTCTCTCTACTTTTTGGTACCAGGATTGAACTTGGTACCTTGTGCTTGCCAGGCATGCACTTAAGTCACTGAACTATCTTTCCTGACCCAATGCAGGTCTAATTTTTGCCTTCCTGTCCCAAGTCAGAATCTTGTTTTGTCACTTGTCCCTTTTCTTTTTTAATCCTTTGTTTATTTGATACAGGGTGTCACTACACAGCTTAGACTCGTAGTGATCCTCCTATCTCAGCCTCCCCAGCAAGGGGAACTTGTCCCTTTTCTTTTCTTCTTTTCTTTATTTTTTTTATTTTTATTTTTATTTTTATTTTTTGCAGTACCAGGGATTGAACTAAGAACCCTGTGCTTGCAGGCACGCGTTTATTCTACTGAGCTATCTCCCTGACCCCTCCCTTTTCTTAGCCAACCTTCTGTCATTTTGAGACACGGGCTCCCTGTGAAGTTTAGGCTGGTCTTGAGCTCAGTTTGTAGCCCAGGCTGGCCTCAAACTCTCAGTGATCCTCCTACCTTAGCCTCCCAAGTGCTGGAATTACAGGCGTATGCCACCATCCTAACTGAATCTTAATTCTCCATTCACTTACTTGAATCAGTCTTCTCAACTTACAAACATGAGAGTGTTCCTAGTTGATAAAGCCCTATCTTCCATCTTCCTGTTCTCCCATCCCTGTCTTCTTTTGGGTCTTTCCTATTTCCATCATTTCTGTTTTGCTTTTCTTTTTGAGTTGGAATCTTTTCTGGCCTTGAACGCCTGGCCAAATGAGAGATCTGCCTGCCTCAACTTTCTAAGTCACTGGAACAGAAGGTGCTTGTCATTGTGCTTACTCCTATTTTGTTCAAGCTGGGCCTGCTGGTAAATGCCTGTAGTCCCCATAATCTGGAGGCTGAAGCAGGAGAATTGCAAGTTTGAGCCCAGCCTGGACAATTCAGTGACTTAGCAAGACCCTGTCACAAACAGGGCATGGAGATGTAGCTCACTAAATTAACAAGGCTTTGAATTCAACTTCCAGTACCACAAAACAAAATCATATCTAAAAAAGTAGGCCATTCCTGTATTCTCACTTGGCATTTCAGATATAGTTTTTATTATTTAATATTATTTAATATTTTTGCAACTAAACATTTTCTTGAAAATCTTTAAGCTTAAATATCGTGACAAATGGGCTGGGAGTGTAGCTTAGTGATAGATGCTTTCCTCGCTTGTGCAGAGCCCTGGGCTCCATCCTTAACAGCACAGAAAGAAAAAGACAAAAGCAGGATGTGAGAAGTGATCCTTGATAAAACATAATTGTAGTTGTTTGTATTTGTTGTTTTGCCCTTACATAATATTTCTTTTTGTTCTCTTTAAACAGTTGTTGGAGTACTTTGTTGAAGAGTATTTTGACCAAAATCCTATCAGTCAGGTATGTAGCTAAATGATATTTTGCTACCAAATACACTAGTTTGTTTTTTAAAAATAAGGCATATAAAAAATAAAAATAGGGCATACATTCTATCAGTTGCTAAGTGATCCACCTGATCCACTAGGTTGTATACTTTTGGGGGTACATTTAGCAAAAAGCAAAGTAACTAAAATTTTAGGGGACCTGCTGGTTAGCTCAATTGTTTAAACGCCTGTTTATGCAAACGAAGCCAAGCGCAGGATACCGCAGTTTAATCCCCAGCTCCACAGTCCTTGCCAGACCCACCCTAAGGCAGCCTGAATCAGCCAAAAATAAAAAATAAAAAAAATTTTAACAGTGTGTAGTAAACTCAGAAAAATACCATGAAGAAATGTTTCTTGTACGTTGCTTATTTCTTTTATAGGTATACTAATTTATTTTACATAAATTTTTAATCAAGAAGAAATCATTTGTTATATGAAAATATTAATAATCATTTTTGTCTTTATTTTGAGATTGGAATAATTGTAACTAAGAGTAAAAGAGCTGAAAAGCTGACTGAACTCTCAGGTATGTATCAAATTACCTTTCCAGTACTCAGGGACTTGGCTTCAGTTACTGGAACTTGTAACCTGTAAAGTGAAGCCTTTCTCTATGCTTTTTAGGTAAAATAATTTAATAATGCCCTTTTTTTCCATTAAACTCTTGGAATATAAGATTAACTGCTTTAAACTGAGTTCTAAAAAAAAAAAATAAAAAACTGAGTTGTGCACAGTGGTGAATAGTATTACTGTGAATGTGAATTTGTTTCCTTAAGATATGTACAGTCTTTAATATGTACTGAAAATACTGAAATAGTCTTATTGAAACCATTCATAAAATCTACTTAATTTCAACTTAAGTTTTTAAAATGTTAAAATTAACTTAAAAGTTTAATTTAAAGAGTACATGTATAAAAAAAACTCCATTATAGCTACTGTTAATGAATCCACTTTTATACTTGCATAACATAGTTAACTTAATTTTAGCCTCTTAAAAGATAATAATAGGGGCCGGGGAGATGGCTCAGTGGAATAAGCACTTCCCTGGCAAGTGCAAGGGCCTGAGTTCAATCCCCAGTTCCACCAAAAAAAAAAAAAAAAAAAAAAAAAAATGGCTGGGCCTGGTGGTGCATGCTTATAATCCCAGCACTTGTAAGGCTGAGGCAGGCGGATCGCTGTTAGGCCGCCAGTCTGGGCTACAATGTGAGCCTGAAGTATACAATGAAATTGTGTCTCAAAGAGACGAAAAAAAAAAGACAGTTTCCCTTTTCTTTTTTATGTGTGTCACTACAAACTGACGTCATTAATTCCCCCCCCTTTTTTTTTTGGTAAAAAAGCTCTATCAAATCTGATTTTCTCCCTTTGCATCACATAAGGGAATGACACAATTTTTATTAATAGTTTTTCACTGTGGCAATAAAGAATAAGATGTTTGTTCACCTGGGTTGATCCAAGAAACTAGTCGCAAGAAAAGAGAATGGTTTTGGCTGGGAGTGTCAGGAAGGCCCTCAGTTGGGTCTGTAGCACTAGATGTCATCACTAGGTTACCATAGCTTGGACGTGAGTGGCCCTGTGCCCCTGTGGGCTGTGCTGACACAGGTAGTAGTAGTCTCGAGGCATCCTGGCCTTGTCTGGCTTCAGCCTTTGGTCAGGTTCCTGTGAGATGAAAAGGTGCCTGACCACAGCCCTACATGGCCCTTGCTGTCTGGGTGCAGGCGACTTTGGTCTTACTCACGGTCTGCCCACCCATGAGTTGCCAGCATGGCAGGAGAGTGAAGAGTTTGGCCACCGTCTGGCGTCGCGTTGCCCTAAGTATGATGGAGGCAGGAGCTTCCCCCTCCTCTCTCAACTTTCCAATTCGACTGACCATATCAGATACAGAAGTTACATTTTTTTTTTAATTTTTATTTATTTGAGAGAGTGAGTGTGTGTGGTGTGTGTGTGTGGCCAGCTCAGCCCACCAGGAGGCGGGGCTGGCTGGCATGTGGTGCTGGGGGATTGAACCACGGTCCCTGATGCTTTGCTAAGCTTGTTCCAAGTAGGTGCTTTAGACCACTGAGCCATCTCTCCAGCCCTACATTTCTTGTTATATAGGTCTTGCTTTATCTTAGTCTTAACCATCCAGCAGAAAAGTATAAAGTAAGGAATAAAAAGTAAAGCCATATTAATATGCTGAGCTATAAAAGGCTCAAGTCAACAACTTCTGACATTCCCAGTCCTATGGATAACCCACTACTATTGTGGACTGCTGGACTATATTGGGTTATTTTGCTGAATTCATGTACCTACAATATTTAAGTGGCAATGGAATACCCTTCTCTGACAAAACTAAACAAAAAAAGGGGATATAAACGAAGGACCATTTTGTATCTGTATATACAAAATAATTAGTATAGACAGCTACTGTCTCTTAATTCAGTGAAAAGAAAGATTTGTACTAATAGTGTTTGGACAGGATATCATGTCTACATCTTGTACTATGAATAACCACTATGAAGACAACAATATGTAATGTATTAATTTTTGAAACTGTCCTATTAGTTTTGAAACTGCCTCATTGCTATTTGTTTCTCAATAAAATTAATTTAAAAAAAATATTAGCAAACGGTGAAAAAAATAACAAAGAACTTTCTCACCCCAAATGTAGAGAAATTTTGTGTACCACTGAGGTCATATGTATGAAGTTTAAAAACCTTTGGAGCCAGATGTAGTGAGCACGCCTATAATCTGAGCTGCTTGGGAGGCTGAGGCAGAAAGATCTTGAGATCAACACCAGCCTGGAAGACACAGCAAGTTCAAGACTTGCTTACATGGTGAAGGGCCAGGGATATACCTCAGCAGCACAGGGCAAGCACAAGGTCCTGAGTTCGATTCCTGGTACCAAAAAAAGAAAAATACTACATAGTGAGACCTCATCTCAAAAAGGAAAAAGAGGAAAAATAGAAAGTGAAAGCCCTTGCAGTTAAACTTTAATACACATTACGTGACATGTGGTTACACCAGCTTCTCAGTCATTTGCCTCATGTGTCACTTATTATGGCAGTTTTTCCTCCATTTACACTGCTTTGCATGGTATAGGGCAGTGAGGGTAAACCTTTTAGAGTTTTTAATGATAACAGTTGGCTGCATCACGAATGCTATAGGTTCACCACCTCTGCTATAGGCAGGTTTTTCAGGTGTTACTTCAGTTACCTTAGATGTTACAGAAGAGAATGCTGCTTTGCTTCTTTGTTAAAAGCTTCCTTTATGAAGTCTTGCCAACCTCTTTATTTTTTTTCCTTCAAGAGAAATATTGAAGGGGCCAGAGACATAGCTTGGCAGTTTAAGCGCCTACCTGACAAGCGCAAAGACCTGAGTTCGATCTCCGGTACCGCATGCTGTGCCAGCCCCAGAACTTGGGCACACCTTTCTGGCCACCCAAACCAGGCGTGGTGGTGCACACCTGTAATCCCAGTGCTGGGGAGACTTAAGACAGGAGAATCACACTGAGTCCAAGCTGCACAGTGATACCCTGTACCAAATAAATGAATGAATGAATGATTAAAAAGAAATTTTAAAAGAAAAATATTGAAAATGGCCAACATTTTCCCATCAATGAATATTTTGCTTCAATAATAAGTTTATTAATAACCTTACTAAAAATACTTAAAATAGCCATTACATTGAGCCTGAGTAGCAGGGAACATATATAACACAATTGAAGCAATAATACTGATCATATAAGGAGCCATTCATGGGTTTGCTCAGTGACAGGAAATGACATGTATAAAAGACTGCATTATAGCTACTGTCTTGCCAGTGGTAGCAAGACACATGCTCATTTCAGAGATATGAAAATATGACAGTATACTTGTTTTAAATTTTTTCATGGGGTCAGAGATGTACCTCAAGGGCTTTGCACCTGCCTGGCAAGTGTGAGGTCTGGCATTCTATTCCCAGTACCCTGTGCCCTGCCAGTGTTTTTTTGCTTTTTTGTTTTTTGAGCTGGGCATGGTGGTGTGTGTGAGCCAAAAATATATTCATTTAGAAAATGATGAAATTTAAAAAAAGATGAAATAAGCTGGGCATGGTGGCACATGCCTATAATTCCAGTACTCGGGAGGCTGAGGCAGAAAGATGGTTGTGAATCTGAGACCAGCCTGGAGTACAAAGTGAGCTGAAGGCCAGCCTGAACTGTGTAATGAAACCCTGCCTCAATAAAAAAGAAAAAAAGAAAAGATGAAATATAGAAATATGAAGTATGAAAAGTTATGTAATCTAAGGTTAATGTTATTGTTTTTTTTTATATATATATATATTTAGTATAGGGTATACAGGGCCTCACTACATAGATCAGACTCAGTGATTCTCCTGTTTTCAGCCTCCCAAGCACTGGGATTACAGGCACGCACCACCACACCTAGTCTCCCGGTGCAATGTGTCCTGCAGGTGGGGCCAGGGTGGCACATTGGGGATGCCTGAGCAGGCACTTGAGTCCCTTGAGCTATCTGGCTGGCCCATTATTGTTAAATATAGTATTGGTGTCAGTTACTCTTCTCTTGTTGCTGGGACAGATACCCAACACTCAAAATGAAGGAAGGAAAGGTTTATTTAGCTCACAGTTACAGGAGGTTTCAGTCCATATTCAGCTGGCTCCAAGGCAGAGTGGCAAATGACAGAGAACATTTCATGGTGGAGGCAAAGAGCAAGAGAGCAAAAGGAGGGGCTGCAGCTCAGATAACTAACTAGCTTCTTTCTCCTACTTACACGTTGTAATGCAGATTCCCTGCCCCAGGGCAAGTGCAGCATCCTTGTCCACTATGATCAATCACAAACTCCAGGAGCTGCCCCGTGACTGCTTGAGGCTTTGGGGGGACACCTATACATAAATGATAACAGTACTGCATATAAAAATAAGATTCTTTGTATTTTCAGTATGAAGATTATCAAATATCCCTGGAAAAAAGGCAACTTGATAAAAACATAAATTGAAGACATTCTGTTCTTTAATATCATAGACCTGTAGGGCCAGGGATACAGCTCAGCAGTATAGTGCTTGCCTGGTAAGAGCAAAGGCCCTGAGTCTGATTCCTGGTAACAACAAAAAAGATCATAGATACTTAAATTTTGGAAGAAGCATATTCTCTCTGTCTGGGTCTGTCTGTCTGTCTTTCTTTCTTTCATTTTCAGAGGTTAAACATAGGAAAATTTTTTGAGAAAAGGTTTGGGGAATAGCTTCTTAGAGACAAAAAAAAGGTCCCAAATGGGTTGCCCAGCGTTTTCATGTTGTGTATATGGCATTTTATTAAAAGTAAATTGTTTATTTAATTTAAGGAAACCCGAGGAAACACATAACATCTTTGAAGAAAGCTGTAGATATGACCTGCCATGGAGAACCATCTCTTTATAATTCCTTAAGCATGGCCATGCAGACTCTGAAGTTAGTATTTTACATTTCTTATTGAAAGTTGGTGCAGAAGTGTCTTTAATTAATTGAAATGATAACATGTTAACAGGAATCTCCATAAAGCCAGTTACAACAAAATAGGTAAGTAGGAAAACTAGCTGTGTGTCGTGGTGCACATTTATAGTCCTGAAAGTCTGAGAGGTTGAGGGAAGAAGATTGCAAATTTGAACCCAGGCTGGGCAACTTAGCAAGATCCTGTCTCACAGAAGAGGTAGGGGCTGGAGCTGAGGCTAGAGCTCAGTGTGAGGGGCCTGGGTTCATTTCTCAGTCCAGTACCGCCAAAGGGCTATGAGATTGTATGTGGCATTTAGTATGGCATAACGAGAGTTGGTAATATACATCTACTAATTAGGAGTGCACTTTTCCTGCAAGTCCTACTGTGGATTATAGCAAAATCCCAAAGAAAATAAGCAGTGTGCTTAAATTAAAGCTCATGCTTTTTATCTCCGGATAGGCTGTCTTATCTTTGACCTTGTGCCTATATATAATAATCTTTTAGTTTTGAAGTAGATGAGTAGGTAATACAAATTATAAAAGCAGGCTCTTCGGCAATAACTATGAGTGGTGAAGATAACAGTGAAATCTATAATTAACTTTAAATGTGCTCCAAAAATTATAGAAATCCTTCCCTAGCATAGGAGAAACAGCTCACACATTTTCATCTCTCATGGAGTCGTCATTTAATTAAGTGGCCCACAAGGGAACAAAGTTCAGATTAATAAAACCAAATCCTCAGGAGATTAAATTGCAGTCTTTAAGAAGGAAATATGTTAACTGTAAGTCACATGTACGTACCTTGATTCCCGCTATATGGTCATGTCTCTCATTGAATACTTTAGACTTTGTATGAAATAAACTTATGGAACTATAAGCTTCATGGAACTGGCCGGTATCATTTATCATTCTGCCCCCCTAACTTGAGAGAACTCTTTAAATATATAATTTTTTAAAGAAGTATATATCTCTTACTGAGCGTGGTGGCACATGCCTGTTATTCCAGCACTGGGGAGGCTGAAAACAGGAGGATCTCTACAAGTCAGAGCTGCATAGTGAGATCTGGTACCAAATATATATTTTTTAAAGAAAGTGTAATATCTCACTCCTGTGTGCTCTCTCATATATATATATATATTTTTTTTTTATTTAATTTTTTTTTTAAATGTTTATTAGGGCTGGGGTTGTAGCTATGTGGTAGAGTACTTGCCTGTCATGCATGAGGCCTGGGCTCCATGACCAGCATTGAAAAAGAGAAAGAAGAAAAAGTATTTAAAGTGCTTAAAATATGTTCAGTTCATTCCCCTGCAGTGTTGAAACAAATGAGATGTTCTATAGTCTAAATATATAAACCATGTTTACTGTTCCTCTAGATACTCCTTTTTTTTTTGGTAGTGTAATTTGCTATAACTAAGTGGAATATGTTTTTATCTCTTCTTTAGACACATGCCTGGACATACCAGTAGAGAAGTCCTCATCATCTTTAGCAGTCTTACAACTTGTGATCCATCCAATATTTATGATCTGATTAAGGTAGGACCAATACTTCAAAACTGAGTCATAGAGAGTATGGTAGTACATATTTGTAATCTCAGCACTCTGGAAGGCTGAAGCAGAAGGATTGCAAATTCAACCTCAGCTTGGGCAATTTAGTGGTTTAGCAAGACCCTATTCCAGAACTGGGGATGTGGCTCAGTGGTAGAATTCTTACCTGGCATGCATAAGGCCCTGGGTTCAATCCCCAGCACTACAGAAACAAAAACAGGACCATGTTTAATGATAAAATTTTTTAGCAGGCATTGTGGTGCATGCCCATAATCCTAGCACTGAGGAAGCTGAAGCAGGAGGATTGCCCCTTGTGTGAGGCCAGCCAGGGTTCCATAGTGAGTTGAAGGCCAGTCTGAATTACAAAGTGAGACACTATTAAAAGACAAAAAAACTTTCTTAAGAAGGGGAGGAAGAAGTGGGTGTGGTGGCACATTCCTGTAATCCCAGCATTCTGGTCGCTGAGGCAGGAGGATTGCCACAGGCCAACTGTGCTATATAGTGAGTTCAAACCCATACTGAGGGCCAGGGATATAGCTCAGTGGCAGAGGACCTGCCTGACATGCATGAAGTCCTGAGTTCTATTCCTGGTACAAAAAATATCCCAGCCTGAACCACAAAGCAAGACCCTGGGAAGAGAAAGGGGATGGAAAAAGCAATTGAAATGTATTGTGTACAGTGCCAGCTCCATCCACACAAGAAGTATAAACCTTACGCACTGCACTCATGTACTAAGAATATTTTATATACTGGAAAAAATAAAAATATGTTTAAAAGAGGTCCTGGGTTTCATCCTTGGTGCCCCCAAAAACAGAGACAAAAAAATCCAAAGTAATAAAGAGAATTCTGTAGTGAATTTATCAATAGCTTTCAGAGCATTATTTTTCAAGTACATTAATTCTCAATGAAATATTTTTTTCTTTTCTGAATACCTCCCTTTCTGGAATGTGATGAAGACCCTGAAAGCAGCTAAAATCAGAGTATCTGTCATTGGGCTGTCTGCAGAAGTTCGGGTGTGCACTGTGCTCGCACGGGAGACCGGTGGTGTGTGTCTACTGTTCCCCTGAACTGGGGTGTCTTGAGCCACTAAATCTAAACTGTTTCCTAACCCGTCGTCAAGCATGTGGAGTCTTCTTAAATATATTGTTTCTGTGAGAAATTACCTCAAAAGAGAAGGAAATTTCAGTGATGTCTGTGTTTAGAGAAACTATTATAGCTTTCTTTTATTATTTATTTATAACTTTTTCTTTTCAATGTGAAAAAAATAAAATTTCAAAACAAGATAATAGGAGGGTAACAGTGATTGTTATCCTGAGGTACTGGAGTACAAGATGTTTAATTGTCCAAACAGTATTAGTGCAAACCTTTCTTTTCAATGAACTAAGAAAAATTAGTAGTATAACTGTCTTAAATGTCTTGTTATGTATATATTTTTTGCTTTTGCTCTTCTCCATTTCCTGGTCCCAGTTTCTCTTTCCTATTGAAGTTTCTTCCTATCTTAAAATATTTGTTGTATATTTTGAATCTTATTTACTCTAGCTTCTTACTAAAAGCTAGGTAAGGAGACAATATGTTTTTTTGGCAATCCGATGCTTCACATATGCATCTGGTTTATTTCACTTGTGAGTATGTTCTTAAGTTGCATCGTTCACCTATAAAAGTCTCCAGTTTATCCTTCATTATAGCTGAGTAATACTCCAACAGAGCTGACATCTTTTTTGTCCATTCCTCAGTTGATAGGCATTTGGGTTGTTTCCAGGATCTAACTATCACAAATTGTGCTGCCATAAACATGGGTGCACATATATCGGTGTGGTATAATGTTTCTAATTCTTCTAGGAAGATACCCAGTAGGAGAAGAGCTGTGTTCAATGAGACCTTGTAGTTTTTTGAGGAATCTCCACACTGATTTCCACAGTGGTTGTACCAGTCTGCACTCCCACCAGCAATGGAGAAGGGCTGCTTTTTCCCCACAGCCCCTCCAACTTTTGTTATTGATTTCTTGATGATAGCTGTTCTTTCTCCGAGAGAAGGAATCTCATTGTTGTTTTAATTTGTATCTCTCGAATGGCCCATGATATTGAATGTCTTTTCATATATTTATTTGCTGTTCATATTTCTCTATCTGAGAAGTATATATTCATCTCAGATACTCATTTTTTGGATTGGGTCTGTAATTCTTGAAAGGCTAGAAATTTTATTCTATGTAGTACTTTGTAAAGATTTCATAGTATGGGCCAGGGAGATGGCTCAATAGAATAAGCGCTTCCCTGGCAAGCGCAAGGACCTGAGTTCAATCCCCGGTTCCGCCGAAAAAAACAAAAAAAAAGATTTGTAGTTTGGTTTGGTTTTAATCAAATTACAATTACTGTTCTTAGAGATACCAGTTCAGAGATAGAATTTTTTTTAAATTACACTTGAACTAAAATCTTAATTTTGAAAATACACATTTTTAAATGTTAACACAAAATTACACAGAAATTATAATCCGTTCTTATAAGGCTGTTGTTTGTTTCTTTTTTTTTTTTTTTTT